ACGGTCTGGAAACTCAATTTCTACTAGACACTGGAGCAACATGTTCGCTTATTAATTTTGACAGTTATGAACAATTTTGTAAAATACAGCCTCTACAGTTGAATAAATCTAGATCAAACACAGTTGCTGTGAATGGAGAAAAACTTAAACTTATAGGTTATACTAATTTTGAATCAACTTTTGGTACAAACTCTGATAATCCGGTAAAAATTAAAGCATGGATTTCAGCCAAGAATTGCTGCGATCTAAATATATTAGGAATGGATTTCATTTGTCACAACATTAAATCAATAAACTTTCCAAATTTGAACTTAGAATTAAAAAAATACCCATATATAACAGTTCCTATCATTATTATAAGAAGCAAAAGTTATCCATATCTAAGTTTTTATCAAAATGTACTTCTTGATAAAAATATAACTATTGCACCAAAATCATCCCGCGTAATTTCAGTTTCTCCAGCAGGCATAGTTTTCAAAGCAGGAACATCGTTTAGAATTGATAAGTCCTTAGAACAAAAAGGCATTAATGCAAAAAGCACTTATTGTAGGAATGAAATTAAGTCAATGCCTATCGTACTTAAAAACTCCAGATTATCAAAAGTAGATATAAACAAAGGTGTAATAGGCCAAACGTTTGAAAACATAGAAATAAAATAAACCCATTTCTTCCTGTTTTGAAATATTTATAAATGTGAAGTTTTCATTAAAGATTTTATAACGCTTTAAGTTTGTGAAATTCACCTAGCGTTTTGTATACTGGGCAGTAAACTTTGTTTAAAATTACTAAAAAATTAGATTACAAAAATTATCCTACAAATGTACTACAATGAATAGCTGTTCTGTATGACACCCAAAAGGTTATGCCAAAATGCATGAACACGGATTTAATTCTTAACCGAGATCGAAAACAGTCAAGTACGCTTACAATTTTGGACCATCCTCAGAATCAAATAAAGATAGAGGGATCGGAAGCCAATGGCTCAGACAAAAAAAAGTTTTTCGACTTCAATATATTTGCAAAAAAACTGCAAAAGGCCAGGAGTTTCAAATATTACAGTGTTACGAGTCTATAATGAATTCATTTTCAGGCGGTTTTATTAACTGAAAATTCAGTATTAAACTTAAGGGAATGTCAAATTACCCTACGTGCAATAACGAGAATTAATAGAGTGAAACCTTTGATGAAAGAACTAGCCAATGTAAGATTGTAACAAACTCATTCTGCGAAGTTAATTTGCACCATCGGATTCCTCTTAGGGCCCAAGTAGGGACCGATGACAATATTTATCATCTTTGTAGTTTTCAAGTTACAAAATGCAAACTAGAAGAAATTCATCAAAAAGGGAGATATCACCTCCTTTCTTCTCAACACATTGATAAAAATTTTCATCAATATTCTTTATCAAAAAATGGGCGAACAACGTTTTTCGACCCGACCCGCCGCAGATTTATGCCAGCATTTGTTGGTGGCTTCATGTAGCCTTTTTAAAATTATGGTACCATATTCTTTCAACAACGCAAGTGCTTGTTGGTGGCTGTATGCAGCCTTTGAGACTCTTATGATTCACTCCTCACAATTTGGCCAAAATATCAATTCGGTAGCCCAAAATCCACAACATGCAGGCATTTAAACCCTTAAAAACAACAAATTTTCAGAAGCAACACTTTGAAAATTGGACCACATCATCCTTAAGATTGTTTACGTTAAATTTTTGCATCATAAAGTTCAGGATGACTTTCTGTACTAAAGATGTGAACATGGATTGATGCAGAGGATTAAAACCAAAGATAAACTAATAAACTTATCTTTTTGAAAACTATACAGTTTGCAAATTGTCTGTTTAATTTGCCTTTTCTACGATATTTCATTTTGATTTGATTCTAATTTAAATCTTTTGTTTTTTCTATCAAAAAATGTAACAAAAATTGCTGGTTATGACAACCAGGTGGACATACTTTTATATTAGGGGTTAATTAATGCCTAAAATTTCCATTTTTGCTTTAACTACATAAGTTTAATATCTGAGCTTAACTCAGTGTCGGAAAATGCTTTATTCCTGTGGTTAATAAACACCATGATCGTCTTTCTTCATTTGTATTCCTGTGGTTAATAAACACCATGATCGTCTTTCTTCATTTGTTTTCCGTAGTGGGTTTGTGTGAAACCACAAGATTATATTTTCCACCTTTTATATATATACAATTTTACACTTTGTCCTTCATTGTTCAAACATTTGATAATTAGCCCTAATATCCGAATGTAATTCGGGATTTTGAAAATTTGGTCATTTTTTATTGATGTTTAGCAAATGGAATACGACCCAATTTTAAACTGGAACTGCAGAAATTCAGACCCAGCACCAGAGGAGTTTAAAAGAAAGCTGCCTCGCAGGAAGAAACAACGAAAACCTGTAGCAGTACAATCTTTGTCAATGGACGACGGGTTAAATAGGAATCCTCGCAATTTTCCCAATTTAACCCAAAGATTGGAACTGCAGAAGTGCAGAGAAACCAAATTGGATACGGAAAATCCAAAATATATAACGAGTTTAAAGTACTCAATAAAGGAAAATTATAACAGATGGAAACTGCCATCGTTCCTTGAAGTCGTCAATTCAATGACAATGGAAAAGGCGATGATGCCTATCGACTTCATAACCCAGCCAGAAGTGGTTATAAAGAACGAAAACAACTTCTGGAAATTAAAGAAGAGGGAGGAACACGGCTACATCCTCAAGGCAGGAGGCACGCAAGTCACCATCCCGTTCGAGGGAATAACTGCTTTTCCGAACCATATAAAAAACAGGCAGGAAGAACAGGACGACATTCAACAACTTACGGACGGAATGAGCAGACTACGAATCAAAAACAAAATTAAAAAGAAGAAAATCGTGAAGTTGCAACAAAAACTTGAGGCTTCACAGAGGAAGATAGCGATCCTCAGATCATACAATGTGGAGCTAGAAGCCGGAAGGAAGCTCTAGATAAAACCTAACCTATCTTTTCAAATTTTTCATTTGATGTTCTTTTTAAATTTTTTAACTATAGTATTTAACCAGTAAAGTGTTTAAATTTTCACCATGGTAACTGTAAGAATCGAACAGCTTAATTTTCTAAAAAAAGGGGTGAGTTGTAGTATTGCAAAATACTACACACACACAAAAGACCATTGTCTTAATTGTTTATTTAACGACCCAATTCTAAATTGGAGCGTGCCATTTAAATTAAAGCCTCTTTTCACTAAATCAGATATTGACTGATTTACTCTTATTAGGACTATAAAATCTTGTTTTGAAAATCCACTCCTTTTTGAATACTTGTCCAAGTTTTCTCATTTTTTCATACTCAATATTTGAAAAGGGCGGCGATTATTAATACGTCCCTTTTAACTTAACTTGAAACAAACTGGATAAACATTTCGCAGTCTTGCCGGCTGCACTGAAATTCTCCTTGCTTTGATTAAGCAGAGATGCACCTGCAATATGATGCATCAGAGAGAGTAATATGAATTTTTAATCAGACAAACTGAAGGCTGCGGTTTTTATCAAAGGGGACTAATAAGTTGAAGATATTTGATTTGAAAAAATCAAATAAAAACTAGTTGAATATTCCCTTATAAGAAAGGGAGAACAAAGGAGCAGGTGAAACCTGAAAAATTAAAGATTGAATCAGCCGCCGGTTTATGCTTATGAGCAAAAGGACTGGCCTGAAATCTTCAGTGTTTCATTTTGCTCAGTCAGCAGCGAGTCATTTCTCTTCAGTCAGATCTTTTAAAAATAAATAATTTTTCTTTTCTGCCCTAACACTAAAATTAATCTAGCCCTTTTCATTTATAAAAAGAGAATAAATTCTCAATTTAAGTTTGATTCGAAAAATTATAAATCGAAATAATCGAGATACGCACCCCCGAGGAAGTCTGGACTACAAGTACCCAAAGGACTACGGCAAGACGATTCAGACGACCCAACCAGAAATGCTGACTTGGACAAAATCAAGGGCAACCATACATACTAATCAGCCACCGATCTTAGTAAGAAGATAAAAAATTGATGAACAACATAAGATTAGCTCAACCTCCCCTCATAGGTATATTTCTTTAAGCTGTTCGATTCATTTATATAATCTAATAACCCAGTGCTTTGTAATTAACCAACTAATTAATTCATACCTTTTCTAACTATTGTTTCTACTCTACTTTTTGTCAAGACAATTTGACGATCTAAGGTGAGACTTATAATTTAGGATAAAATTACTAAGCATTCAACCAGCAATGAGCGCTTAGTAAAGAGTCTTCAATTTAATTTGTGAAGAATTTGAGTGATACTTAAGCATTTTCGGTTTCCCATAGTAATGTTAGTGTTTTTGGTCAACTGATTTACCGATTCACTGGCCTAACACCTGGTATATGCATTGAGTTGCTATATATTTCGAATGTGTTTTTTTTCCAATACCAGTTACATTGATTCAAGTTAAAAAAAGACCTTGATTAAAATTTCAAGACCTCGGAAAATAAATAAAAGATTTGTGTCTCAAATCTCTATATGGTTACAAGCCACAAGGGTTTCAGTAACAAAAACTCTATGATCGCTATATTTTTCCGCCCGACTATTGGTATGCTTTAAAACTGCGCGAGAAAAGGGTTAATTTTTGGCAATGATTTTTTCCAACTATATGATTTAGTTGTGCTGTAGGAGGAAACACATAATGTCCAGCCATCGCAAGTTTTTGACATTTCTGCTTCGAGTGAACGTAATCGAAGTTCAAGTTCTGATTAAATGTTATGGAGTTATGAAAAAAAGAGTTAATGGGTTTTTTATGGGATCTCTTTAACTATTCAAGGAGGGGGGGGGGGGGGTAGGAGAACATTTTAGGTACAAAATTCACATATGCTTTACCGTTTAATTAGTTTTTTAAGGGTGGGTGGTGGAATTTCGTCACTAGGTACCAAGGGGGGATAGTTAAAGAGATTCTTTTTGAGTTATTACGAAAAAATCTTACCCCAGCTCTGGAACTCATATTGTCAATTAAAATTAATCGCTAATAAAGTTTTCAATGGTCTCGTTTAAGAACTCGCAGTAAAGTCGTGCACCAAATGCAAAGAGTCTTTCTGGCGAATGAAGCACAGGTTTGATGATAAAATCAGAAAACAGCGGCCAAATTTTTATGATGCTGAGAAGCTTCGTGTGGCCTCAGTAAATTATTCAGTAAACGTTCACTGATTTTATAGTTAAAATACCGACGACCACAAAAAAAAATCTTAAATAAATTACTAAGCAAAATACGCTTTTATCGCGTTCGTCCGTTTTACCAGGTCCAATTAAAATTAACATGCTTGAATAAAATCAACTCAAGCTGAATCTAAATCATGAACCTGTGGTGCATATTTTTGTGCTCGAACAGATGAAGTTTAACCAGCAGAGACTTAGGTGCCCTCTCATATACACGGATTTCAGATAAAACTTCAAATTTAGAAGATAAAGACAAATTCATCCAGAAATTTCGTGGCACTAAAAGTTTGACGTGGAAAATAAACTGAAACTTTGGCCGTCGGCATAATCTTTCCAGATCATCTGGCATTGTTTAGCGGATTTCTCGCATTGACTTTGATAAATGGGCAAAAAATGAACACTCTACTGTGCCATTAGAAAGCTTATTTTCTATATTTTTATGGAACTTGAGAAATGGTCGATGTTAGGCAAATAAAGTCTGAGGCGCAAAAAAACACACAAAAAATTTCTTTTGACCGCTTTCCCTAGTCGATCAAGGGAGGTTATCTTGCAAGATCTTGAAAGATAACCTCCTTTAAAGATCACTTTTTTTGAAAGATCTTTAAATAAACGTTTTTTGGGGGCAAAAACAGCTTTACACGCAAAGACAACCAAGAAGGGTTCGTGTAAGAAGCAAACAATCTTTGCTACGCATGCATACACACAGCCCGCTAGGCAGTTGCCCCAAAAAAGCTTTAAATGATTTGGAGTTTTTTGTGATAGGCGGCTATCTTCAAGTTTGATCGACAACTTACACCTAAACTTCTCAAAATAGGAAAAACACAATTTGTATCAAATGCGAATATAGATTTTAAGACATAAATTCAAACAAAGATACAAGCAAATTGTTCCGACCAATTAATTATCTGATAACACTGTCGTAAAAGTTCAACTTTAGATTTTTCCATCTGATAGCTATAGAAAATATTGTTTTTAAATGGCACAAATTTGACTTGTATAACGCTTTCCTCAAACTCTTGTCAATGATCAGAACAATGATGTCTCATTATATTTGAAAATATCAAAGCAAACAACCAATGGTAGTGCAAGAAGCACAGAAGGTCCGAAAAACTATAGTATCCATAATTTAGATAGAAAAATCAAAAATAAGCTAGCAATTTCCAAATGTAGCAAAAAAAAAGAATTTTTTCATTTATTTAAATTGAGTTGTCAGCAGTAGCGGATTAAAGGGGCGGGGGGGGGGGGGCGGACATTTTTCCTCCTCAGGTGTTCGACCCCTGCCGACCCAAAGGGCCCACCCTTTGTTCTATTTTGAAATATCCATTTTTGGCTGACTGACCTTGAAAATTTTCTAAAGTTGCTTTCGGCGCTGATCTGTACTAATTTTGAGGGGGGGGGGGCGTCGAAAAATGTGATTTTTTTTGCTCGAGATTTTCCAAAAAGTGCCTAAAAACGCCTTTTTTTGGCCTTTTTTTAAAACATTGCCTGCGGCGCAGAAAATTAGGTCAAATTAGGGTCTTTATTGTCGTTTCGGAGAGCTCAGAATTTCTATTTGGTCGGCCTGAAAAAAAAGTCGACAAAATTTTGAAATTTTTTTGAAAATCCGCCCTCTCCCTTGAGAAATTCCTAGATCCGCGCTTGGTTGTCAGTGTCATCAAATTTTGTGAAATTTTTTTCTATAAATCGAAACAAACATAATCATTTTCTCGACCCGTATATTTTAAAAAAAATTTTTTTTGAAGTCCAAGTCACAACTGTCACAAAGTTTTGATATGATGCCACATGACCAGGCCACCAATTTTTCCATGAGATAGAAAAAAAAACAATTTGCACCATTGTGCTGTCCCATTGCGCAATGAAGCAGCCGGAGCAGAATTTCGTAGAGATAAATGAAGCTGGAAATTTGGGATCTACTTAACAATACCGTTTTTTAGTAAATGGCGTGCTCGTCTGTAGATTAAGTTAGTCGAATTTTCGACCGATCAGATTGCACTTTAAATTCGAACTTCATATACAAGGCTCTAGTACTAACTTACTGCCGATTTTTGCAAAAAACCGAAGTTTTAAGGAGCCAAAAACAAAAAAAAATCAACAAAAATTTCATTAAAGGACTTTAAGTCAAACAGCACGTAAATACACGAAATAGCACAATCAAGTAGTTTTTACACAATGTTTGTCTAAATATATCATATACACACTTTTTTATTTTTCAGATGTTTGAAAAACTACTTAGTTTTATATAAAAAAACTCAAAATGAAAGATGTTAGATTAATTTGCACTGGAAATTGAGGTAAATTTTTAAATTGGATGTAGGATAAGAAGATATCAAAAAATTTTTCTCAACTTTGTTTTTCGTTGCGAATTTTGCCTTCAAAGTAATTATATTCTGTAATAGCTTTTTTACTGGGCTGAGTTTTTTTGTTTGAACTGGCAAAATATGATCCATCGATGATTCAGTTGCATGCAAGTACAATTTGTTTCTGATGATTGAGATAATTTTAATTCTGATATCCCCCCTCCCCGAGTGGAAAAGAGCTATGATTTTTTTCCGCCCCAATTTTTTTTCAGTTAGGCAAAGCTCTTAAACTAAAAATAATTTGAAAAGTTTAGAAAATTTATTTTGGAAGTTTTTTGTAAAATGTTTCAATTTTCAACTTGTGTTGTGTGGTCAGAATGTTCTCTGCTACTTGCAAAACAGCCGACATTCTTTGTACTATTTTATCGGTATCCAAATTTTATGCCCAAATTTATTAATTATTTTCTCTATAAAATTAAATAATTCATATTGTATCCCGGAACCGAGCGATAATTTTTCTTATCCCCGTAGATAAAATCAGTTCAAGGCTTCAAATGATAACGGTTTCAAGTACCCAAATTACCAGATTCAAGCTATTGTGTACACATTAGCGTTTGAGATGTTTTAGGAAACTCTGAATTTGCCTTGTATGTAATGTAAGAAGTGTTGTCAATGTAGAGGCGCTCAATTTGGTTCAGTTTCCATTTTCTTAATCTTAATTCCGTAATTAGAAAACCAAAAAGTTTTCTGAAAAAAAATGTTTTATTAATTTTTTCAATTTTTCGTTTCTTTATTCTTTTATCAAAGAAAATTGATGCCAATTATGCAAACTCAGTTTAAACACTGAATATTCCGAAATTATAGGCTTTGTTAGGTCCTCTCATCTAACCACTCATGAAAAACCACAATTACTGAAAAATTTTGTAAAATTTTTTGTTTCTTTTTTTATGAAAAAATGTTGCCGAATATAGCAAATGTAGTAGTTTTATTGTGTGTGCCTACGTTCTAACTTTTTCTTCAGATGCTCTCATCACACCACGAGCACAAAGCGACACCATTCGAAAAAAGAAATTAGTGTTTTTGTAATGGTGGTCAGTTTTCTGTGCTACTTCTTTATCAAACAGCTAGCCTTGTATTTTCTGATTTTCGTCTATGCTAAAATCTTTTAATCAATTTTCGGTACTTTACTTTTACATTTCTTCATTATTATTTTCCCCTTAATTCATAATTTTGACTTACTTTAAAATTTAGTATTTTTTAAAATACCTTAAAATATAATATTTTGATTTTGGAACTGCCGATTTTTCATTACTGAAGGAATTCATTACTAGTACAGAGTAACTATTTCGTTGTCATTCCCAGACAGTCAACTCAAATTTCTAATGAACAATTTTGTTAAAAATTACACGCCTTGGCTATGAGTGATAGTGCAATCATTTGTTTTATGCATAGTTGTTAAGAAACTAATTAGAACTAACTGAAGTTTGGCGAAACATGAATCTGATGTATATTTGAAACATTTATATTTGGCAACATTACACCTCAATTTGTAAGTCTGTATCTAAAATTTTTTTCTGTTCTTCATTGTTGTCAAAAGCACCCAATTTTGCCCTCCTTTTTGGTTGTCACAAGGTCGCTTTTTTGGTGCCTTCTATATTGAATTACACTTAAAGGATCAAAGCTCGCATAAAGTTAATACCACAGCTTGTGTTTCCAGGGAAAACATAGTTCTTCATTTTAAACAGAATATCACACTAGAAGATTGGTTAGCAAAATTTTCTGTTGTTTTTTAGGTTTTGAAGTTTTTTGAACTTAAGGAAATCAAAGTTTGTTTAGGCACGAAATATCTTAACACAAATTAGGGAAAAAAATCAAATTTTTATTTTTAATGACATAAACGCACCGGACTTTCATGAGTAAAAATCGATTATATTGGAAAAATATTTACTGAAGTATTGTCATATAATCCATTGTTCTTACAAATTAAGACCACGAAGTTGATTTCATCTCATTAAATTCGAAAAATTGCGATAAAAAACAACCCAGTAAGTTCCATTATAAGGAATTATAATCCGTTTAAAATCCATGATAATTGATTATAATGGATCAGGGGCGGATCAAGGAACTTCTCGAGGGGAGGCGGATTTTCAAAAAAAAATTGAAAATTTTGACGACTTTTTTTTTTTTTAGGTCGACCAAATTGATTTTTCGAGCTCTCCCAAATCTCCCAAAGCACTGTTTTGCCCCTATTTTGGCAAAATTTTCTGCACCGCAGGCAAATTTTTGAAAAACAGTCAAAAAAGCCGTTTTTGGGCACTTTTTGAAAAATTTTGACAAAAAAATCGCGTTTTTTTGGCGCGCGCTCCCCCTCAAAGTTAGTATATATTGGCGCCAAAGGCGACTTTAGAAAAATTTTAGGGTCGGTCGGCCAAAAATGGATTTCTGAAAAAGTATCAAAGGGGGGACCCTTTGGGTCGGCAGGGGGTCGAATCCCTGAGGAGGGAGGGGGGGCGTCGGAAATTCCGCCCCCCCTTCCCCTAAATCCGCCTCTGTAGTAATGGATTATATTCTCTATAGTTTTGCAAACTTTCAACAACTTCTGCTATAATCAAGCCCAGTTTAAACCCCCTCACCCTTTTACCACCCCTCTATCGTTTATTCGTTAATAATCAAAACAGCCCCAGTTCCCTACCCCTTC